TGTTAGATTTTTTAAAATCTGAAGTATAAGGGAAAGGCAAAATTTTCCATTTGTCCTATGGATTCAAGGAAATGAATTAAGGTTGCAATCCTGTGCTCACATCCTTGAAACCAGTAGTGGTTCTTCCTGAGGAGATACGTATAGGATTGCACTGCCATCTCAGCTCAAGTTTATAAACAACTCACAGACCCTCAAATTCTAACACCCATATATCTGGTTCTATACAATGTAAGTGTTGGGAAGGGGACTCAAAACTTAGGGAAAGGCCCACTAACAAAGCAATTTAAAAATGTAAGCACATTTTCAGTGTTACTTTTAAAAGATCAGATTGAAAAAAACAACCGATGTCCATGAACAATTCTGTAAATGTTGCTTACAACTCTCAACAGCCAGAAAGGCAAACTTTGCAATGGATTAATGTTATATAGAATCATAATAATAGGCCACTCAAGTAGCCAACCTAAAAAGGGAAAGATCAAAGTACTAATAAGTCTGGTTCTTTCAACTCTATAGAAATCATACATCAATAACACGTGTAGCAATTCTTTGTCATCACACAGACATACTCTTTTCACATATGCAGTGCTATTAATCATTCTCCCAACATAATTAAAGGGAGAACATGGAAGCAAACTAACCTGGATACTTTATTATATTTTGGGACAATGGACCCTGATAACCCAAGTAATTAACATGGATTCCTTGTGGATCCATATTAGCGACCCCATCAGAGAATGGGAAACAAATCTTCTGGGGTGACGTTATTAAAATAAAATCAACATCCATTGGGAAAAACAGGTAAATGGATGTCTGAAATTTTCAAAAACACCAAGAGTTTAGGATCAAACTAAATACTTTGTCTAACATGCATAGTGGAACGATGGTCGTTGGGATATGGGTAGATAAACTCTTCCCCACCGATTGTTGTCTGTGAGTGAGTATGAGATATTCTCATGGAGGGTTAAAAACAAAAGTCTCATTGGTGTCTGTGTGTTTTTAAATTCTTTTCAAAACCCCTCCTCTTCCAGGGGTATGTTTGTGTGGAACTTCACGAAAAAAGGGTAGAAGCCACCCACAGATCACTGTGGACACTTAAATGGAGACTAACAACAGTGGCACACCATGCATGCCATACAGAATGGTTAGTTTGGCCCATAATCACTTGTAAGAATTGTGATCACTCTGTCAAATGCAAAATGTTGTTCATTATAGCTAAGGAGTCTGATTTCCTTTGTGGAGGGTTTCCCAGAACTGTTTGCAGCATGACATTCTTGCAACTTTATTTACCTAAAAATTCAGGCATTTTTATGAATTGTTCCAACACTGACAGCATAATTTCTTTGCCTATTCATAAAGTTATATATATGTGATCAATACAACTGGTGCACTCATCTGAGCGTAAGCCATACTTAAGATGTGTTCTGCATGAAAATGAAGGCTTTGCTTTCACTATGCTTTCTTCTTCTTCTTTATCATCTTCATCTGCTTCTTCTAATTTTTGAAGCCATCTTTTGGGGCTCACTGCCTTCACAAGGTCACTTGTAGGATTCTAAAACACATCTTGTTTAATCCACTTTATTGAAAAATGAAGTTTTTTCAAGCATTATTCAAGCACTGGGAATCTTTTAGAAAATAAAGAAGAATGTTCATTTGCTTGTAGATTTCATGTTCCATATAAGTGACATACAATATACCACTTATATTCTGCATTGTCCAAAAAACCAGGCATGAGAGCCTGCCCTCTTGCAGGTTCCTCAATCATTTAGGAAATAAAACAAGACACTAGGAAGGAATGAAAGCAACATAAAGCAAAGATTCTTAATCATATGAAAGGCTTGGTATAATAACAGGAGTAATAATCACATTTCCTTGAGCTCCTAGTCATTGCACATTTTATTAAAAGCACCCTACAAAACTTCTCCAGGGAACTGGGATTTATGTGGGCTGTTAAGTAAAGTTTCCTGTGGCATTCAAAGGAAAATTGATTTTTTGCTGATTATGAAGAATACTTTATTCATAATTCCCTGGCTGTGCAGAGATTAAATATTTCCTAATGTCCTCTGAATGGGTGAATGCAGAGATAGAAAGAAAGGGTGTGCAAAAATGATGATGATTTTAAAAAGGGACTAACACTGGGATGTTTGGGAAGATAAATATAAGGTACATCCAACAAGCCACTTGAAATATTCTATATATGCTAATTAAACTGGCTCGGGGCAAACATGTGCTTTGAAAGTACACATGTTTACTCAGTTACTAGGTACTACCTATTTCAGTAGTGTTTTCTCACATATAAGAGCATGTAATAGGCATTATAAAGTGTTCGGAAATATGGTGCGTTCATATTTTAAATAAATGAGATACGATGAAGTCAAATAAAATTAGATAGCTCCCTTTTAGATTATTCCTTAATATTTTATTGCAACCCCCAGAACCCTTCAGGATTAAGAAATACTGTTTTTGGTTTTTGAATTTTTAATAATACTGACTGTAAGTGTATTAAATTCTACTAAAAAGCATGTTAAAGTATTTTAGCTATTAAACATAAAAGTCTTGTCACCCTAAATCTTTATAGTATATGCTTTGGACTCGTTGAAAAATATCACAGAACAATAGAGCCGAGGTCTTCAGTGGTTCCTAGATGTAGGGTTGAATTCTTTGATTTGTGGAATCACAGCAGTCTAAGAAAGACCCCTGTCATAGAAAGGGCGGAGCTTCTTCATACCCTCTTCCCATCGCACCACTTTCTGGATTATCCCAAACACTCCAGAGCAGAATTTTGATACATCAAAGTAAGGAGGAATCAGCAGAAATCACCTTTCTCATTTCCCATCCTGGTTCAGGCATCCCTGGGAATTACGAATTTAAGACCTAACTTTTGCTTGATTTTAGACATTTGCATTTATGTGCATAAATCTGTAATGTGTATTTCCATTTTAAGCATTTGCCCAACCAACCAACCAACCAACCAACCAACCAACCAACCAACCAACCAAGAAAACAGTTATTTCTTTGGGTTTGTGGGATTGAAAAATGGTTTCAAATAGATATAAAGGTTTTGAAAGCATAGTCTTTTTTCTTATTAATACTTATACATTCTCTCAGATAACATACAGCATACATGTTGTGTGTTCTCCAAACCAGAGTGTGGCATGGAAAGGAGGAGCGTACCTTTTGTGCCTTGCGCTTATCTGCTCGTTGATTCTGGTGGTAGATGCGACTGAAGTTGGAGACAATGACTGGAACTGGAAGAGCTATGACTAAGACCCCACTCAGGGAACAAATTGAGCCAAATATTTTCCCAGCTATTGTCTTCGGCACCATATCACCATACCTAGGATAAAAAAATAAAAATAATCTTTTTTAAAATTGTATTTTCCCATATTTTACCTCAAACGTCTCCAATAATCACAAGTATTATTTCATTCTTTTGTAAATAATTTTTTTGACATCACCTGCTTGTGTCAACAGCCTCATGATTTTATGTTCCACCTGCGGCATTGAGTTCAAAACTCACGCAAATGCTTCCTGTGCTCCATTCAGTACCAAACATGGTGGGATGGGAAGTCACTCTAAAATATGAAAGGAAATGTTCTCCCAGATGCTGGAACTCCCTGGGGCTGTATCTGGTAGTGGCTTTGGACAGTAGCGATTGCAAAGCAAGTGCTCTAAACTGCAGGAGCAGTTGTATGAGAGATTGTATGAGGAGGAGGTTGTATGAGAAACACTGAACTCAGGTGTTCTGTCTTGTGGAAGTGGAATTGCTTTCCATGGTTCAAAGGGACCCTTTGAAAATAAAGGGTTTCCCTGGCATTAGTAACAGTGCCTCAGAAAGACAAGGATTGGAATGTCTTCCCTATAAGAACAGGCTAAGGGCAACTGTGCTTGTTTGTTTGTTTGTTAAAAATTATATGCCGTCCCAGTACTAAAAGTCTCTGGACGGCTTACAAAAAGTGTCTGGATGGCTTACACTGGCTTTATGGAAAAGAGATTTAAGCAGGGCTGAATGAGGGGAGTGGGCAGGATTATGTATGATAAACGTTTATTCATGGTATGGAAAAAGTGGAGAGGGGGAATGTTCTTTCTCTTCCTCTTAACATGGGGATATGTTGCTAAATTAATTAGCAACAGATCCTGTAACAAAAAAGAAAGTATCAGGTATGGGCATCTTGCAAAACTCCCTGCCACTGGCTGAAGTGATGGCTGTGGGCTCCATGGGTTTAAAAGGAGCGCTCATGGACTCTGAGCTTTCCAAGGGCCATTAGCTATGAGAGACAAAGACAACCTCCTGGCTCAGACACCCTTCCTGTCATAACTTCTTGGTGGACAGGAGAATTAAAGTGTTCAGCTGGCCATGGTGGGGAAAACAGTGCTGGACTAATTGGATTCTTGGTCCAATCTAGCAAGGGTTTTTTCCTGTTCTTAAGGGCTGCTTCAGACAACTGTCTCCCTATGTGAATAGAGGCTCACCTACTTCTGGGGTTCAGCATCAGCTGAGTTGCTCAGGCAAATTATATCATCATCATCATCTGAAAAGTCTGGGGCATAATCCATGACAACTTTACATGAAGCTGTGAATGGCCTCCATCTAAATCCCTGAAAGCTGCTGCCAGCCAGCATAGACTAAACTGAGCAAGACAGGGCAACGGGTCTTGGTGTAGAAGCTTCCTGGGTCCCTGCTTATCTATTTTATATCCATCTTCCATTCGGTTACTGCAGAAAGGACATGAGGAGTCATCCAATTTATCTTTGGAAGGTTATGATACAGATGGTTGTATGGAAAGTTGCCTAAAGCTACTCTGTGAGCTTCACAGCTGAGTGAGCATCGAGAAATCTTTTTAAAGACATTCCTTCAGTTCCATACTTCCCTCCAAATACCAGTTGGCACAATGCTTTTGTTCCATTCTCCACGTTGTTTATTGGATTTGGATGCTCAGAAGACTCCAGACCTGGAGGCTTATGAGCATCCAGCAAAGAGCAGGGAGAGATGGAGAACTGGGCTCCATCTGCCTGCTCTTGCTGTCAAGCCGTTCAGCCAAAGGGCTGGTCTGGACCATCTAGCCAAGTTGCTGGGGGGTGGAGGTGGAGCAGGAGGCAAGGAGGTTGCAGCACCATCAGGGAACAGAGTATCTTGGTTGGCATGTCCAATCTCTTCCCCTTCTCCCTGTAGGAATGCCCTTTTTACCTCCTCTCTGATAATGACTTCCTAAGCTCAGAGAGACAGCTGGTGCAGTTCTATCCATGTTGGCTGTGAGCAGGAAGAAAGGGAGATCAGAGTGCACCTCCCCAACACTGAGCTCAGAGCTGTGCCTCTGATCTGGGATCTGGGAATCAGAAGTATCATATGGTCCTCCTAGATGTTGAACTGAGTTGGATTTCTTACTGATGACATCTCTCATCCTAAAGAAATATAATTACTTCAGTCCAATGAGGGAAGATCTCATATGTCACAGCCGTTCCTTACCTTGTGGGATTGTTGTAAGGATTGCTCCTAGGCAACTAGAAAGCAACACTGGCACAGCACATAATAAAAGTATTATTTGTATATGGACAAATAGTTCCACCTGGGATGTGGAAACCTCCTATGCTCCTAAGGGGCAATATGAGTTTTTCTGTACCTGTTGCTCCTCAGATGTTTTGGATTGCATCTCCCATTAATGTTTGAAACATTGGCCATGGTGGCTGGAGCTGATGGGGGCTGAAGTCCAAAACATCTGGTGGGTACTGGATTGTGGAAGGCTCGAGGATTCTCTGTCATCTAAGTTCAGACAGAGCAGGAATTACATTAACTGTTGGTGGAATGTATTATCCATATGGATGCTTACTTCCATTTAGCCACACCTGTCTTCCAATGAAAAGTTGGTGTTATTGAAACTGTGCGGAAAATGCAACTGGGTGCCAAAAAGGAACTTTTGAAATGTTTTATTTGTTAAGAATTAGGAATGAATTGAATTTATCAATGAAATAATAAGGCCACAGTGGGAGGGGTGGGAGAACCCAATGAATGTACTGCAATAACCTGGCAATCCACTAGAGGGCATAAAACACCATTGAAAAGACAATAGAACTGTAGGATAAAACATGTCATATTTCACACCACAAGACACAAATGTACCCAAACACGTAGAGAGATACCCTCCCTTCCTGTTCAATTACATCCTTGCCACAAAGGCTATACCCATGTGGGGTTTCTTGTCTAACTTCTGCCGTGCTTGCTGAAAGAGAAAAAGACGGTACAGTGATTCTTCTTTTTTACAGCCTATAAAAAGAGGGGATTTCAGAGACTGGTAAAGTAAAACAAATAGAAGGTCATTGAAACTGACAGTGTTACTTTTAAAAGGCAAGGTCATGTCTTACTAATGCATAAAAAGATGAGAAGCTGTGGTCAGCAGTAATCACGGGTAAATACAGTAAAGGTCAAAAAATTAAAAATCAAAATTTGTAAGAAAATAGGACTGGAAGGGAGCAAGGTAAGGCATTCTAATTTAAATGAGTAATTCTCGGAAAGCATGAGAACTTTGGGTTGAAGAATCCACAGAGATCCAAGGAGGCTGGGTTTTTTTAAGCAAGGCCCTGTGGTACCTTAAAGGCCAACAATGCACTGTGGCATAATAAAAGCTTTTGGGATCCAGAGGCTGCTTTGGCAGATGCATAAAGTGCCACCTAGTGGGTACTCTGGCCACATAGTCAAAAAATAACACTTGACAAAGGAGATTATAGATAATATACAAGATATTATAGGGAAGAGGATCAAACTTCTTCTCTGGGGGCGTATTATTATTATTGTTATAACAAAAAGGGAATATAAATGCCCTTTCCCTAAAAAGTCACCGTGACAGTCTTTCAACAGGGTACAGCTGAAGTATGATGAACTGGCCAGGATTTGGGATCAAGGAATGTTTTGCTCCATTTGGCTCCACTACTGTCACCAAGCCAGCAAATTAGCCACTAAACTGGCTGTGTGGCATGCGATTTTGCCTTAGAAATGGAGTGCAAATTGTATGCACGTCCTGTTTAAAAGCAGAATCATTTTTCCTGCTGTGTCCCCAATTCAGCAGCAAATTTGGTAGAGCTCTGAGTGTGGCTAAGGGCTGAAAGAAAAGGGCTAAGGGGCCTAACCTGTGGCATGTGGGCTGCATGTTGCCCATCCCCATATCTATTGAAACAGAAACGGAAGTGCTGATGTTAGGGTGAATTGAGAATGGGATACAACTAGTGTGAGGGTTTCCCCAGTCAGCGTTCCAGAAGGATATCTGGTGTTTCACTTTGAGAGACAGTTTGCTGACCTATTTGGAGTCAAAACAAAACAAAACAGAACTAGGAGTTTGTTGTTGTTGCTCTGAAAGTCTACAGTTTGTAACAATCTCAAGGTGGAATGCCAGAGTGTTTTGCAGGCATAATTGGATTAGCTTCTTAAATTGCAAGACAGATTGTATGATGAATCCAGGTCTACTGGGACAACGAATTAAAATGCATGCTCTCCATATCTTAGAATATAAAATCTAGTAGTTACTCAGTCCTGTTTCCAAGTCCTGCTCAGATCTTCAGCCTCCCAAAGTCTGAGATGTGTGTGTGTGTGGGGGGGGGGGGGATGACATCATGAGGGCAGACCTCGTGATGTCACAAAATTACGCATGCCAAGAAACAGATATATGTATTGAGCTTTGGAAAGGACATATGGTAGAAAAATGGAGCTGGCAGTACAATAGCCCAGAAAAATTGGGTTGCTGGAGAATCGAGAATAAAACACAGGGCCCATTGATTTAATTAGCTATTCCAAAGTCCTAAGCATGAATCCTAAAACCTGAATGGTGTGCCAAAACCTAAAACTTAGAAACCCTAAAGGTGCCTTGAGAGGTGGAGAACAGAAATAAAGAGACATGGCCTTTATGTTAGAAAAGCTGAACATGGTGTCTTAGAGACAATATCAAGGGAAATGACTGTGTTCAGAAGGTATGGCATATACTGAGTTTGTGAATGTTTGTTCCCAGTAATCTATTACTATTTGTCCCCAAATACCTGAACGAATGCCTCCTTCCTTATACGTCCTCACATCCCTTAAGATCTGTGGGAGAAGCCCTATTCCAGAGACCCTCTCTAAAAGAGGTAAAAAGGACATCAACTCTGAGCAGGGCTTTCTCTGCGGTGGTGCCCAGACTCTGGAATGCACTCCCACAGAGGTACACCTGGCACCGAGCTTATATTCTTTTTGGCAAAAGGTCAAAATCTTTTTATTTAAGTGGCATTTTAAAAGTTAATAGTTTTATGATTCTACCAGTCGCTTTTGCTTTGTTTTATTCTGATTTAATTTGATTAATTTGATGTTTATTTATT